AAAAAAAAAAACAACACAACAAACACGGAAAGAAGAAAGAAGCAAAGCCAACGATTAGAAACACACCGACACATGCAAACACATACAAAGGAAAAAAACAAAAGCAAATTAGCAAAAATCACACACACACACACGAAAAGACGAAAGAAGCAAAGCCAAAGACTAGCAACTCAAACATACACACAAAAAAAGAAAGAAGCAAAGCCAAAGATTAGCACCACACACACACCAGAGGAGCAAAAACAAAGCAGAGACAGGATTCGCAAAGGTCGTCTGTGTGTCTGTGATACATGAGCAGATTCATTTCCAAACGGAACAGATTTTGGGACAAAAAGAGAGTCAAGTCTGACCAGTTAAAGAAAGTTTCGGTTCACTTACACAAACAACAAATTTTAAGAAGAAAAGAGAAAGTCTGATGCCAAACACTCACAACACAGACATGCAGAGAGGGTAAAAGAAAGAGGAACAGTAGAACTTACAGGCGCTACTGCCTGTACCGGAAACGTGTAAAAGGCGCTCGCTCTATAAAGCCCCTCCGCATCTCGTGTACGGTATGACTGAGCAGAGATGCGAGCGAGCCAAGCCACTCCTTATTGATAACAAAACGTTACTCTGGTTAAAAATAAAAATAAAAAGGAAAAAACGACATTTTTTCGACAACGGATAGTAATTCAGGTTTAAATATACAAGAGGAAAATTTAAAATTCCTAAGACAACTCTTCTGCTTTTTCCTTTACACATTTAACGAGCCGCCATGTCTTTTCTCGGCAACAGAAAGTGAACTCGGGGAAGACGTATAGCAAAAAGAAACGAAATGGAGATAAAAATCTCCTCCTCTCCACTGCAATTCATGCAAACAGAAACGCTAATTAAAATAAGAAGATAGCCCTCGAACAGAGATCCCAGGTACATTGTTCACAGTATCTTTTCTAGACGAATAAAATTTGCGCAAGGACAGCAGCAGCCACACCGATCGCTGAAACAGCAAGAGACGGATGGACAGCCAAGGCGTTGTTGTTTGAGGGCGGAATCTTCGAGGAAGGGGACGGGACAGAGGGACCAATAGGCCTGCCGGCCCCCAAAGGTAGGACTCGTATTAGTATTCCTGGGGGGGGGGGGAAAAAAGAAAAAAAAAAAGAAAAGAGATTGGGACAAAATCGATGGGATTGATGACTTCGCAGGCAAGCTCGGTGAGACGGATGCATTATTATCCGGTTGCGATCCGGATGCGATCCGGATGCGGGGGGCATAGAGATCAACGCGACGGAGGCAGTCGATGCATCATCCAATTGGGATCCGGATGCTGGCGGCGTAGAGGTCGATGCGACAGAAGAATTGGGTGCGAGAGGTGGTTGGGATTCCGATGGAGGGACCGAAGACATCGACCCGTCGGAAGCAGGCAAAGAATTGGATGCGGACCCGGATGCAGAGGACGGCATGCTCTCGGACGCTGAAGCAGGTACCTACGAGAGCGGGGTCGACGAAATGGAACTAACGGGAGCGGACGAGAGACTATCGTCTTCCCCCGAACGCAACGCACCCTTATTTGGCTGTATCTGGCCGGAAATATAGCTTGTCGGGGGAAGACGGTAGCAGGCGGCGTAATACTCCATGGTGCTGATTGCGACGGAGATGCGGGCATCGAAGGCCCAACAGATGGAGGGATTGAACCCAAACCTGATGCAGGGGTCGAGAAACCGCCGAACCCATATCTGATGCAGGGTCGAAGCCATAGAAAGCGGAGGAGCCGAAGCGCCTGTCAGCGATGCCGACGCGGGAGTGGAATCGGAAGCGGAAGGGAGAATGGGAGCGGAAGCAGGAGCGGGGAACTCCGAGTTGAACTTAGCATGGAGAAAAGAGCACTGCCATCAACACCCACACCAACGCCGCCATCGCCGACATGCTGGTTGATCTAGCCCTATCTCCGACAAAACACACCTAACGATACCAATTTCTCCTACGGCAGCCGCTCTTCACAGTATATACAAACTTACACGCTCAAAAGAAGGTATCGATGAAGTCCTCCACCGAATCTCCGCAAGCTCTCCAGCGGATGAGGATCAAAGAGCGGTAAAAATCGCCAGTTCTCGGCCACCTCTCCTGTTCTGCGCCAACAGGAGCTATCTATGAGGCGTCGATATCAAGCTCCCCGTTCTCCAGCGAGCGACGTTCTCAAGAGAGGCGTAGCAGCGAAATGCAATATAAATTGAAATAGTAATATAAATAATATAAATAAAATAAATATAATCAAATGGAAAAAGAGAAAAATATTCATGAAAAGAAAAATAAAGAAAATAGTATGAAAATAATATGAATATTCATAGGCAATGCGCAGGTTACAGACCAAAGGTCCTATTTCGTTTTTGGGCCGAGTGCGAACGACAAACTTGACCTCGTCACGCAGAACACCACCGAGAGACAGATGGAGGACGGGAGGGAGGGAGGGAGGGAGGGAGGGAGGAGGGAGGAAGGGAGGGAGGGAGAGAGAGAGATACACACTTGCAATATCTGGACAACACGTGCGAGGTTTTACTTTCACAGCATACACGTCCTGTCCATGGCATGCGACTAAACCA